AGGTCGCCGGCATCGGGCGAGCTCGAGGCTCGCCAGATCGGCGAGGCTTGAGCCTCGCCGGAGGCCGGCGAGCTCGAGCTTCACCGGCCTCCGGCGAGGTTGTCCCGCCCCGTTGGCCGGTCGCCGTGGCCGACCACCGGCCGAAATAAAAAAAAAAAGAAAAAGAAAGAAGAGAAAAGAAAAAATAAAAAATAAAAGAAAAAGAGAAAAAAAATAATTAAATTTCGATTTTTTTTAAACATTTTTGTAAAGAGGGAGAGAGTATATGGATGGGTCTAATAGGTGGGTTAGACATGGGTTCCAAAATCAACCCATTTAGACCCATTTATCTTTAAGCTTAAAATTTAAAACCCATTTAAGGTTGACTCTTTAAAATTAAAGTGACCCATATATGACCCATTTATGTTTAAATGGGTCATATATGGGTTTAAGACCCATTTTGACACCTTTAGTGAGAGGAGAGTGAGGAGAGAGAGTGTACGCGAAAAGAAAAAATAAATGCAAAGAAACCGAGATCCGATTCGAACTGAACCGAACCGAACCGAACTATCAACTAACCAAATTATTTTACTTATCATCCGAACCGAAATCGAAACCGAATCGAAAATGCATGAATTTTGAGTTCGATTCGGTTCGATTTCGGTTTCGGTTTCGGTTCGATTTTCGGTTCGGTTTTTGACACCCCTATCTCCAACAATTTTCTTTCTCTCACGAGAGGTACCTATTTGCAATGTCTGTCTGCCTATACATGAAGCGAAGTAATGGGAAGAGATTTGCCAAATTCTTCCCTACTAGATTGGTAGCCGCGTTTCTTGTTTTTTAACTAATGGACATAAAACATATAATAGATCTGAGGGACAACAATTTGATCCCTTATGACACAAAAGTTTTGGCCTTGTTAGGTTTGTATAAACCAATAAATAATTGGGATGTACATTGTCCCGATTCAACTTGAGAACCATATTGGACTTGCCGATTCAAGGTGATTTTATGTGGGAATTGGTCCGATTCATGATTCCTGAGGATGAACTGTTCTGATCGGATCGGATCGGATCGAACCGGCGGAACAGACATAATGAACTCACCCTGAAATTGATGCATTCTGACGAACAAGTCGTACCTCGATGGAGACGCTATGAAAGTGCTGATGTATGTATGACGTAACTGGTGCCAATCTCTTGTAAAGATTATTGGGCCTAATTCCAAAAAAAAGCACCAACTTTAGGTCAAGGGACAATTCTGACCCAAATTTTTTTTTGTCCCATAAAAAAGCACCAACTTTAGGTCGAGGGACAATTCTAGCCTAAACTTTTTTTTGTCCCGTAAAAAAACACCAACTTTAGGTTGAATGACAATTCTGGCCCCAATTTTTTTTGTCTCATTAAAAATCACCAACTTTCATCATGATCTCAAATCTGGCCCCCTATTGACTTTCACCATTGTTTGAGAAAGACGGTTATGGTGGTGAGCTTGGCGAATCTCGTCCATGGCGTCTGTCGACAGATGGTAGTAGCTTCATATTATGTTTAGCCAGAGAAATTCAATCTGAAGATATTTTTGACTTGTCAGTGAAGTAAAGGAGACGAACAGTTTTACCGTTATTCTTCAAATTGTGGCTTAGAGAATAAGACAATGTATATTGCTTTAAATCTAGTCAGCAAGCCACGCGGATTTATTGCTAATGTGGAATAGTCAAGTTAGATAATCAATGGTTCTAAGTCAATGGGGGCCAGATTTGGGATTTAAGCTAAAGTTAGTGCTTTTTTACGAGACAAAAAAAAGTTGGGGCCAGAATTGTCTCTCGACCTAAAGTTTGTGCTTTTTTACGGGACAAAAAAAAGTTCGGGCCAAAATTGTCCCTTGACCTGAAGTTGGTGCTTTTTTACGAGGTAAAAAAAAAATTTGAGCCAGAATTGTCTTTAGATATAAAGTTTGTGCTTTTTTTTTAATTAACCCAAGATTATTGTGGGATAACCTTTGTTTTTCCTGCTAAACGGCATTTGCTTCACCTACTTCGGAAAATTTTGATGTGGGTTTGGGGAATCGTGTAAGCAGAAAAAAGAATTTTTTATTTAGTGTTGACTGTCAAGTGAGTGCATGATAGAGGAAAGTACTTTATGTCCTTTTCAAAAGATTATAAATAAGATGGTGGGTTAATTGGGGATTGATTTGAAAGTATGGTCGGAGAAACGATCAAGATCGTGAAGTATCACCTAGGGATGTGGAAAAGAAATGGGAACCGTTCGAATCGCTCGAGATCGCCCTGAACTGGCAATTCCTAAGAGAATCGATCCGATTTTCGATGCCAATTTTTGAAAATTAGTAGGTACCGGTCCGGTTCTCGATTCTAAGCATAGAATCGCCCACCCGCCTAATCGAACTAGATCGGTAATATAATATATAATATGAAATATTTATTTAATTTTAAATTTTAAAAAAAATTCCTAAATCCCTTAACTAAATCTAACTCGCTTAACATTCACAGCCTCACATTGAGCCGAGAAACACTTTTTTTTTTCGCTTTTGCCTCACGCTCACTTTCACTCTCTCACTCTTCTCGGTCAATGCTCACCTCACTATTTTCAACTCTCCGTCTCCGTCTCCGTCTCCATTTTTCCGTTTCCGTTTCCATTCTTAGCTAGTAGGACCGGTTCTATAGACCTACTCGGGAACTGTACCGGATCGACGGTCTGGTTCCCACTTAGATCTATGGAACCAACAGGCGATTCCCGGTTCCATTTTTTGGAACCGGTCCTTAGTGGGCGATTCCCGATTTTAGGGTGGGAACCGCCCATTCGAACTATGCTCACCCCTAGTATCACCTCATGATGGATCTGTCACACACTTCTATTCAAGCGTTGTGTACTCCTTTTAATGGGTCAATTTGCTCCTAAACTCGAGACGAATCATATTAAATTGTGCAACTCTGACGACCGCCGAATGAAGTCGCGTGATATTAGCTAGGACTCGTCGGGATAGCATGACACCAGCAAGCCAAAGCAACTCGAGAACACAAAAAATGCGAAGGAAGCTCACTTAGCACAACGAGATAAAAGCTCAAAGTTTCAGAACAGTTGGAAAATATGAGAAAAATTACACAGATAATATAGCTTTAGAGGTTCCCCGCAATATAATATTTAGGCATAAATTATTCATTGACTAATTGTTCAAACAACACAAAGTGATCAATTTTAGAAAATTATTTTTCAAATCATTCATTTTTCAGTGAAACAACGAAACCTTAGTTTTTTTTTTTTTAATTTTCTATTCATTAAGAAAAAAATCCATATCACTTTAGCTTGTCCAATCAGCGTTGTTAACTCTCGAATTTTCCCAACAATCAAAGTTAAAAAGTTCAAGATCCGAGACCCCTCGATCATGGCGGTGCTCGTTTCTTGAAAAAAAAAAATTAGCCGAGTGTCCTTAGTATCTCAATTAGGCATCAATTTGTCAATAAATCAAGAATTGACTTTTAGGTCAACTCTAGATCAAAAATTACAAAAAAAGCATAAAAAAAAAAATCTCATGCAGGTGCCGATTTAGCATGGACATGTAGAATTAGGCCTTTAAATTTCAAAATTTCATAAAAATGGCCAAGGGTTTTTGTCAAACCGAAAAATTTCTAGAGGATGTAAGATGTACTACCAAATATACTTGAGAGCGCGATTTTTGCAAATTTCCCGTTCAACTCAATACCTTAATACAAATGGTAACTTGCAACCAATGCCCTATTTACCATTAGAAGTTTCCATCGATAGGTTGGCCAAAATTGCTAGATGCCCTCCAATTATATTGTTATTATGATAAAGTATAGAGAACCCCAACTTTATGGGCTTAAGTGTAATTGATACTTAACAATAACAGTATATGTGGTGTTATTGTCACTCGGTGCCCTAATATATCGGTAAAGTAGCAAACGGACACTTCTACGATATCTCGAGGAACAATTTATCGGCGCATAAAAAAGTTGCTGAAATGCGAAAGGGGTAGATCCCGACTGGTTGCTCAGCAGCCTTTGCAAGTGTTGGTGAATTATTGCACTTTGTATATAAATTATGATAGATTCGCTTGCTACGGGGCACGGCGTGATTCAGGACCGTTCTTGGAGGGTGATCTATAGGCAAGCTAAAACCCTAAGGCTGCGTTTGGTCGACCGGATAAAAGTCAGGATATGATATGTTTTATCTTATCCTGTGTTTGGTGGTGGTCCAGGATAGGATAAGGTCGGATATAGACCGGATATAGCCCGGATAAAAAAATCCGAGGGGGTGTGGGATAGACCTGGATAAGATTTCTAATGCCTATTTTTCCAGAAACCCTACGCTCCACTCGCCGTCATCTTCATCCCCACACCTTGTGCGCTTTCACCAAAAAAGTTTCTCGGCTTTTTTTCCTTCACCGACTCCTCCGGACCCGTGAATAGCAAAAAAAAAAAATTTTATCCTATCCGACTTTTAATCCGTAATCCACCAAACAGTGGATAGGATATGAAGAAATCCCAGGATTTCTTATCATATCCTATCCAGTCCTATCCTGTTTAGAAATCCGGACAACCAAACGCAGCCTAAATCTCCCGATTAAAGGGTCCGGTCCGCTTGCTACTCTTTTCCTTCTTTTTAATTACACTTGCTATATATCTGAAACCAAATAATTATAATTAAGTATTGCGTTTTTTAAGACAAATTACAAAATTTCTTCTGTTACACTTACAGCGGAACACATTACGGTGTCGTTTTCTAGATTGTAATCGAACCGGATGGTTCTCCGGCTCAATTTCCCGAGCAACGGTTCGGTAGAAAACCCGGTTCGCTCGCCTCTTGTTTCTTCCTGCTATTATGCTTCTGCCCGCTCTCTCTCTCTCTCTATCTCTCTGACTTCGCCGCCGCCGTCGCCGTCGGCCCTTCGCCGGAGCGCCACCCTCTCTCCCGGTAAGTATAGGGCAATTCGCGATATCGAACGTTGCTTTCCCCTTCGCGAGGTTGTTTCTGCTTGGGTACTCGCTAATCCTGCGGTTTCTGCAATTGTTAAAGTTATCATATCAGTATGCTATGTTTTCCCTGGCGAACCCCGACTAAAGCAACCCAAATTCATACCCCTTTTGACTTGAGGTTGTGCCGTTGTCTGAATATTTGTGGGTTTTCCGTAGCGGTGAAGAAAGGTCTTGGCTTTCTGCGAATTAGATAGGTTAGCTTGCCCCCATGGCGACTGAAGAAGCTCCTCAAGATCAGAGGAAACGTGCGCTGGAGGAGGCGCTGGAACGGCGGTTCGCGGTGGCGAGAGCCGAGGCTACGCAGCAGCAGGAGAGGAGGAGTAATAACCGCAAGTTTGATAGGGGAAGTGGAAGGGAAGGTGATGGTGGGCCTGGCATTACTAGTACAGTGTCGTCCTCCATTGCTTCACAGAATAAAGGTCCTTTCCTTGATTGCCCATATGAGCTGTCAATGGCCCTGCTTTCCGTTGTTTCTTGATTTCATTATGCAGCTCTAGTTCGAAGGTTCGATGAATTTATATGACTTTCTTGAATGATTTCTCTCATTTAGGCATTCTACATTCTTCACTTAGGTGTGTGCGTTGCATCTTTTTTTTTTCAGCTTCGTGAATTTTATTTCAGTTTCTGTGCCGTTCCATGCTGTGCTATAAACCAAAAAGCTTTTTGACATCCATTTATTGAAGTCATGAATTAGTGTTGTTCATCCTTGACCCGCACTGCGATCTGACTCTTGAAATTCATCTGAAGTGGAGAATGTTGGTTTTGTTATCTGTTGTTTGAAGAGAGAGGAGATGTTCTGATGGAGGTTGCTAGTGAAAAGGAAAACTTATTGCTCAAGTATCTTGTCATTCAGGGGATTCAGACCCCAGGAGATGTTATCCTTATTATACATGTGCTTCTTTAAATGTATTTGTTTGCTAAGGAATATACTGATTCTTCTACTTATATTTTGATGGATCCTTGTTAATAGAAAATGACTCTTGAGGGTTCTTGAAGGCTTGGAGATATATTTATCCGATAATCCGTAACTTTTGTTCAAAACTTCTCACCAGGGGTAATGATAGTGTGATCTAAGTTTTTGACATAATTGGTTTTTTTATTTAGGTTCCTTTCCACCTTTATGGCCATGATTGTGTCATCTTTTGTGGCTTGTGTTTTATCATTGTCAACATATGTACCTCAGGTTTTGATGTCTTGTGCATTTTTACTTGTTTATTAGGTACAGATGTTGGACGCATTGAATTGAAAAAGAATTCTCAGATTAACTTGTATATGAATAGTTGGACGGACTCTATGCTTGCTTAATTTTGTGCTTGCTAAAGGATGCAACTGCTCATGTTATATGCTCTTTATGCAGATGCCGAGGCTACTGATCCAACGTACTCACTACTATCTCATACCATGCACGAGAATCTGTTAGTGCGGAATTTGGAGGTATTGTTATGTTCACTTGGCTGGACAGTTTATGAATTGACTAGCACTGGCTACTTTGCCTACTGGCATTTCAGGATTAGGAATCACTAGCTTTTTCTAAATTAGAGTGATGATTGATCGGGGTTCACACCTCTATTCTGCCAAGTGCCCAATGACATGGGAAATATGTAGTTTTCTTTGCTTTTTTTCCAATTTATCTCTCGTCATTTATGCAGATTTCTAGCAGAAGAGGAACTGGAGTTGACAAGGTATTGCACGAACTTCTCCAGAAGGGTGATTCAGCTCAGAAATACATGCAGGGTTCTAGAACTATGAGACTGGATGATGTGATTCTTCTTGATAATTATGTACCAAAACGTAGCACTCTAGCTGGTGCTCGCCTCAGGGCTTTGCGGAGCCACTCAAAACGGTCTAAAACTCACATGTCTACGAAGCAGCATAAGAAATGTGGATCGTTTGATTTGCCTCAAAATCTCAAGTGAGTGTGCCCATTTGCTTATAGGTCACTTAAATCTGGCTTTTGCTCAGTACCAAATAATGCTATACGTTGTTTTTTTCTCCCTCGTTTCCCTCTTCCTTTAAATGCATTGTGTTTGCAGTTGAATATAACTGCTGCTACCTTTGCATAAAATTCAGATTTCTCTTATTACGTTCTTCGCATACAGAGATTAGGAGCTTTTTTAGGGCAAGCATGAGTTTTTTCTCTTCCTTTTGTGATTTGTTTTTTTTTTCTTTTAGGTTTTCTTTTTGTGGGGAGTACGGGGTGCGTTTGAGTTGGAGTGTGGATCTTACGAAGGGAACTCTACTGCATGTTAAATGCCTATTCCAGATAAACTATGCGTATAAACCCTGTACATTTCGGTCGAAAGAAGTTGGCTTTCCATATAACCCCTTCTTGTTGTTTAAGTAATGAAACTTCGTCAAAGAAGATATACTATATTGACATATTTAAAGTAGAGTAGCATGTTGACAGCAAATGAAATTATTTTTGTTGTGCTGGAGCTTAGAGACAATTTTATTCAGATTACTGCTCCGGTTAGTTTATTGTTTATTCAGGTCTCATCTTCGGGGTTTGATTTCGCAAAGTTAACTTGAATGTGAATGAACACAGACGAATGATGAGTTAGAATTTTTTGTATTATAGAATCTGATATCTGGCGGCATCATTTGGTCTTGGTTTTGTTCACATAGTTGGAATTTTTATATGTTTATTTATTCATTTGTTGAATTGCAGATTTGACTTCTTTAAGCCGATGCATGAAATGTGGAAAGGCTACGTAGCGGAACTTTTGAAAATCAGTGGGTAAGATATATTTGGTTCTGTGTGTGTGTGTGGCTAATAATGCATTCTTGGTCAAACCCTACCATAGTTGAAGTATTTCAGCTCTTGTAGTCACATTGCTTCGTATTCTATTGAAGGAATCAGCTGGCTCAGTGCCTCCTCAGTGCGGATTTACATGGGGCTATTATTCGAGGTTAGACAATCTTTCTGATTATTTTTCTCTTCCCTTCCCACCTTGTTTATGAGCATTTTGGAAGTTTGAATTACTGTTATCATCTATGGCTATGCTTTCATAAAGTTACATTAAATAAAACTTGTTTCATCTAGCTTGGTCACCAAAGTACTCATCTCTGACCTTGGAGTTTATATACTTTGGCTTAATTACGTTCTTCCTTATCTTTATTCTCTGGTCTGTTTTGTGGCAGTTGCTGAGTGTAAGGTGACTTCACTTTCTGGTGCAAGTGGTATTATGATACGTGAAACTGCAGAAACATTTGGATTAATCACGAAAGATGATAGATTTCGGTGTAAGTCAAATTTTGACTTGTAAGTTTAGTAAGATTCAGATTGTGATATCTGTGTTACACCTAGATTGCATAAGCATTCACACCCCTGTGGATTATCTATATATATTGCAAAATCAAAAGTTACCAGATATTGAAGTCCAATGGAAAAAAATGAGTTGATATGCTAGATTTGCACCTTTCTCCAATTTTTTCGGTGTTCTAAATTCTATATTTCATAGCACTGTAGCACAAAAGCACTTCTCTATTGTCTTAAGCTTGGCACTATAAAGTAAAAGAGTTTCCAAATAGATTTAGTGGGTCTGAGCATATACGTGCTTGACTAGTTATGCTGATGAACGCATGCATATAAAGGTGCTTAAATTTATAATCTAGAATTGTCAGCTCGCTGCTTCAACAACTAGGTTAGCATCTTAGGGTCATCGTGTCACTATAATGGAGTCCGATTGTTGAGTAGTTTAGAGTCATATAACAGTTTTTGTTTCGATTTTTCCTTGCTTTATTGCACTATTAATTGTATTTTTTCTGGGAATAGCTAAAATTTATTTCTGGTGGTTTGCAGTTGTGCCCAAGAGAGGTTCTGTTTTTCTGTTCCAAGTTGATTGCTGGAAGATTACGTTATGTGGAGACAAACTTCTTGCAAGAGATTAGGGTTGGCACCACGATAATGTTCGTTTCTCGAAAAACAGTGTAATTTTGCTACTTTGATACTGTGTCAACCATTTTTTATGTACACCATCTTCAGTGTATGGGGCTTTTTGACTTCAACTATCTATTTTGTGGCAGCAAATAATTATCTGAAGGAAAATTTGTAGTTTAAAGAAACTAGTTCTTGCCTTTTTGACCAAGTTTTGATATTTTGTAATTTTTGCTTATCCACTACTGGGTTCTGGGTCGAGATAGCTTTACTGATGATTAATAAGTACCTTTTGCTCTATCAGGAGGCAGAAGCTAGATTGTACAAGAGTAATTAGTTCTGCGGAATTTACGTGGCACCTATTGTTCATTGCGGTTTGATTTTAAACTGTGTTTTCACATGACATGAGAGATTTCGTTTGACTCATGAGCTCTGAATAATTACTTTTCACCTTGCGTGGCCTCCTACTTGTTCTACAATTGGTCTTTCCTGTACTTCTTTCTGTTTTGACCTATTGTACCAGTGAAGTTTCAGGTACTTGGGGAGTGGGAGTACGTTCTGTTCTTTCCCCTGATATGTTGAGCTTACTCATTTTCTCCACCATCATGTGAGAGGAGGAACTCTGTAGTTGGAGTGTAACAATTTCTTGCTGTATTCATTGTAATTCTCGAGTACACAATGAGAGACATACACCTGTTCTGCAACTGTCCTATCATTTATTAGTAAGAGAGTGTTTTATACGACAGTATGGTTATATTCGCAATGAGTGGACGGTAAACTAAATTGAATCTCAGAATTTGCGAAAATTTTAGTATCTCTTGCATTACTCGGCTATGAAAATCTCGCTTACTTGGAGATGTTTCTTTTGGACAGGGTGGCGAGTTTTGAGAAAGCGGAATGTGCTGAGAAGTAGGATGAGCTGAAAGAAAGTGATGCCCACTCCTTGACGGTGACAATATGTTTCAGGTCATAGTTATTGAATCGTCCAGAATCATATGGGGAGGACAGGCTTGCAATTCATTTGTCTTGCTTTTCATTGCTATACACAATTACAAATCCCATGGGAATTTACTTGGTCCGTCCAATTGTCGAATTTACAATTTGCTGATACCCTACTTGCTGTATGAAGCAATCATGTAAGGGTTGGGCAAATTAAGTCCGTCCTCTCTAGTGGATCCCTATCACTTCTTTGCGGGGAGTGACTTCTAAGAAGCGCGCGTACACTGCCATATTCAACACATGCATTCTTAAACTCGCACCCGTGATTGTGTCTTGTCCTTAATTTAGTTCGATTGGTCAGTTCGTTGATGGCTGAAAATGCCATTGAATCGAGAGTTGACAGGTTGTTCTTTCTCATGGAAACTGAGGAAGAACTTTCGAGAAAAAAGTTGATAAAGGTAGGATGGCTGGTACAGTAGGTCGCATTGGCAGGTGCAAACGTCGTCTACTAGAAGTCTAAAGAAGAAGACTTCTAGTAGATCACATTTGTGCTTGTGGGGTTCTAATCTACCAAGCGCATGAGCTCCTGCAGGTGAGGTCTGGTACCGGAACATTTTAGAGTGCCCGATTAATTCAGATCACGCAGCCTCATCCCATCACGACCGGGTGATCACTGGGGCAAGAGGGTCTCCGAGGGCTGGCTTTAAGAAACCTTGCCTTCTCTAGAGGCCTGGTCGAGCCTATGATTGTGTTTTCTCTCTGGAGAAGATACCGTATAGGCTCTGTATATGTGGATGGAGGTGATGCGGTTGACAGAACCGATCACGGTTCGGAAACTATATACGGCGTGGGTCTGATAGATTCTTAAAATGTGATTGGCTTGGTCAGTAGAGTACGAATGTCGCTGTAAGCCACGGAATCGTGCTGTCTTGCCTTTTAATCTTTGTATTCAGAAACACTAAAGTGGTGTGCTACATGTCAAATCTGAAGGCTTTTCTTGCCATGTTTTGCCAACGCAAAATAGGCCTAAAAAAGATATGTATGCCCTCTTCTACCTTCCACGTCTTCGTGCAAAGAAAAAGATGGGTGGCCCCTAAACCACATTGACTTAAACATCATAATTCCGTCGATCAGCCACGAGATGAAAATGTCTTTCATGAAATGTCAATGCATCCTAGTCATTTGGGGGACTATAAGTTAGGTAGGGGGAAGATGGAAACAAAAGTCGACGATTAATCGTCCCTTGCGCGCTTTGACAAAATCTGGTACTCGCTAATCGGTTTGGCGAAAAACCCGAGCCATACCGTCGTTTCGCATATGCGCACGTCAAACCTCGGTCTAACATTCCATCTTAGGCCAGCTTGTAAGAACCGAACCAACGATGGCATTCGGTGTCGAGCCTTCCCTAGGGATGGCATACCTAATAATAGATGGCAGCGTGAGATGGCATACCTAAGGAAAGCTCTTGCAATCCATGTAGGATCAACTGCCATTCTTTCCACTCTCTAATGGCTTAAAATTTGTCCGCCCGAATCTCCACCTGTATCTAAATTCGTATCAACAGGAGAGGGACTTCTCTCCCAAATCTATCTCTCCATCCTCATGAAAAACATGCTCAGAGATTCTTCTTCAAGCTCAAAGATCCTCCAGCTTTTTGAAATGGGAATTCAAAAACTTCGACCTCTTGTTCTTAAGGCTAAACACAACCTTTATCGACGGGAATTATGAAAGTGTCAGCTCTGTTTTTCGGCTGTTGTTACCGGGAATAACGTGAGACTGGCTCTGTTTGCAGATGGACTCGGTCCTCAGTCCATGAGAATCGCCACCAACTTAACAGATTTCGCAATTTTGTGCCACGTTCTAGTCCGCGCTTTACCTGCTCTGTTCCGCTCAACCTGCATTTGTCCGCTTCTCATTCTCCTTAATTCAACGAGATCTAACTGAATTGGTTAGCGTCACACATCTGAGGCTGGGCTATATAAGGGGATACCAGTTCCTTCACAGAGGGGAAGGAGAAGAGGGACGCCATTCTCACCTGAGAGAAACACACCACCGAGAGAGCTCTGGGAGGGCCAAGTCCAGAAAGCTCCTTTTCGGTCGACCGATGCCCGTATCCATCATTTTCCGGTCATCGGCGCCCACCGTTTGCTTGCTTTCCGTCACCGGAGACACGAGATTTCCTGCTTGCCATCCGGGTCCTTGCCATGCCAAATTCCCTCGTGGCTCATCATGCAAGGCCCCGCCTGATCAACGCATGCTCGGCATGACGTCCGAGTCCAAGGAGAAGGCCCCGCTCCGGCTCTCCGACATCAAGGAGGTTGCCGTCATCCCTGAGGAGTGCAACGTTGTCAAGGTCACCAAGCAGAGCACCGAAAGACTTCCGGTGTGGCGGGATCTTCTCCTCCACCCGACTCTGTCTGTCCGCCACATGCTCATATGCGTGTTGGGATCCACTTCTTCCAACAAGCATGTGGCATCGACACCATCCTCCTCTATAGCCCGGCTCCGGCTCTCCGACATCAAGGAGGTTGCCGGCATCCCTGAGGAGTGCAACGATAATGTCGTCAAGCTCACCAAGCAGAGCACCGGAAGAGCGTGTGGCGGGATCTCCTCTTCCACCTAACTCCGTCCGTCCGCCACATGCTCAGCCGCGCCGTTGGGATCCACTTCTTCCAACAGGCATCTGGCATTGACATTATCCTCCTTTACAGCCGGGCGACATTATCAATATACCCATGTGGGGTAAATGTTGCACGGGTCTATTAGTTTTAGAGTTTTTATGACAAAAAAAATTAGTATGAGTTAAATGTATTACGTGTGTACCAGTTTAGGATTTTTGGTAATATTAATTTTCAAATGAATTATGACCAATTCCCTGGTCAAAGCAAAGAAAAAAAAAATCCAATCTCCAATATCTCTGTTCCTTTCCTCTCTCTTTCCCTTTTTTTTTTTTAAATTTCTGTTTTGTTTCAAAGTAAAAAAAAATAAAAAGAATAAAGAAGAAGAAGGAAAGTGATAACGGGCAAAAACATGAACGCTTCATCTGTGGCATCATAAACAATCAACAATACAAAAATATAAGCAGTAATTCCAAAGCACCGATTAAAGTTGGGTGTTCAAATAATTGGAATGAACTTCGAAACACGGTAAATACCCTCATATGGATCAAGGAATTCACTACATTCAGAATGACTTCTTGAGCCGGATCGATCACCTCATGGATAAGATCTTATCTAATTCACGTAGATGAAGCGGTACGTCCAAAGGCTTGTCCAGATTATTCGAGTTAGTTGATGTTCGTGTGCTGATGACATTGAAAAAAAATAATAAAATATGAATGGACATATATTTGCTGGTCATATTCAGATTGCCATAGCTTTTCATGATTCTATCTAGTATCGATATTTTTACTAATCGAATAGAATTTTTTAGGTCGAGAGAGCTGCTAATTTTTTTTTTTTGGGCGGGGGGGGGATATTTGTAATATTTTAATACTGCTTTAACTATACTATATATTAAAAAGAAAATGTGGGAACTTTATTATGATATCTTTTCGGCCAACGGACTTTATCTTATAAATTGCAATAATATAAAATAAAGATTAAGCAATGCAGTCCCTCTTGAGGTGGGTTTGACTTTGAACACTAATTAATAAATTAAACATAGTTTTGATTGTCAAAATATGATGGACATAAATCACAATTGATCGAGTATAGTCGATGATCTCCGATCCTGCACTATGCGTATGCATGTGAAATAATGAGAAATTAATAAATAATTGTGTTAATTTGTCCACTTCTTTTCATAGTCTTTTGTTTTACTAATATTTTCATGGAAATCTCGAGAGTTTTCTCCTCAGGTTTGATGTTTGCCAAGTTCTCCAACGACATGTCGAGCGATACATTGAATAGGGATTTTCTTGAGGTGGAGCCCTAGCCAGTGGCCGGCGAGGGCGTTGCCTGGCCAATCGCCGGTCATGGCCGAGTACCTGGCCACAGGCCAAAGTGAAGAGAAGGAAAAAAAAAAGAAAGGAAAAAAAGAAAAAAAAATTAAAAATATCCAAGTTAGGGTCGGCCGCCTATCGGCTATGCCACATAAAATAGTCGGCGTTCACGTAAATAATTTCCGGCCTAAATTTGCCTAATGGACTGAATTGGTACAAATGTGACAAAATTTATGCACCAATTGAAAA